AAACAGACAGAGCCCATAAAAAACCTTTACTTTCGTATTCAAAGAATTGTTAACCAGACTTCCACATGTTCAAACAAAACAGTTTATTCCTTACCTGGGCCTGTGCAAAGGGCCTAAACATTAACTTTGGGGCTATTTTTACCATTCTTTGGGAAAAGAAAGGAGTAACATGTAGTGCTTACATAACAACTATAAAATAGAGTCTGATCCAAATGGTTTCCCATTAATTTCTGGAGACTTTTTATATAAGTTTCTACTCCTGGCATGAACCTTTTCAAACAGAGCAACCCCAACACATATGTGTGCACGTTTCTTCTCTCCCAGGTGTGTTTTTGGCAGCTGGATAAACAAGGCTTGCTCACTGGTGGCCAGCAGAGATGTTGGCACATGAGCAAGGAAAGCGTGCTCCTGTGCTTCTCATGACAATTGCTATTTCTTGTCTTGGTCTCCTGCTTTGAATAGCCAGGGGTGTGTGGGTCATAGGTATCTTTGGTTTGGAAAAAGAGCAGAGAAGTGCAACTGGGAGCCTGTGGAAAAAGCCTTTAGCATGAGCACGTGTTCATAGGTAACATAAAGGTAGGTGGCTGGCAACTATATGCAAGACACCTCCTCCCCACCACTCAAGTGCACACATACAGCCTGATTTCAGGTGCTGCATCTTAAATTGTACTTGTAAATGCCCAGGAAGGAGTAGGATGTTTAGCTCCTGCTTTCTGACAGTTCATTTCTCACTCAGAAAACTACTGTGGATGAAAAAAACAAAGCAACTTATTGCAGAGAACTTCCCAGCTGAAGTCCTATTTGCATGTGTGTCAAATGGTGGGAGGAAAATGCTCTCCAGGGTTTCCTGCTGTGAGCAGTAGACTCAGCATCTCAACTGGCCTCTGCATTTTGATGACTCCGTTACAGGAAGCTTTTTCTCCTGACAGACTTTGAACGCACACAAAGCTCAGTCTCAAGTTCCTGCATCGGCCCAGAATTGAATTGGGAGAGGTAGGTGACCAAGAAAGTCTGTATGTTTAAAGGAGAAGTATTATTTAGAAGCTCTCAGAAAAACATGAAAAGAAATAGAATATAAATAGGCTTCTGAAACTTCTGAGTAGATTGAATGATGAGTAAAAAGTACCTTTCTCTCCCAAGAACTTCTACTTAGATATGGCAGCGGCATTATCAACAAGCTAATTGTGCAATTACTGAATGCCCCCCTGAGTGTGTCTGCTTGGGTGGGAAGTATTGTGTCTCACATTTCTACTTTTTCTTCAAATACTCTGCAGAAAATCCTGTTATGAATCTGTCTGCCTGTTAGCTTTTGCTCTCCTTAAGCTAAGCTGAAGAAGGAAAAATACGTGCTGCTGTGGCAAACAACAGACAGGGGAAAAAAGTCAAAGGAGATGAATGAGGTTCCATCACAGCAGGAAATTTAGGAAAAGGTTAGAGATGACAATATTGGGCATGGTGTGTAGCCTGAAGTAATCTTGTAAACTTCAGGAAACCAGACCAGATACTCCAACTTGCCCTGTCTGGCTCTGCTGTCTTCCAATTACTGTCTACCATCAGGCTACACAGAAAATTTCTACTGATAATGATAGAACCTCTAGCTGGATTTCAAAAAAGGGGTACAACCAAGTGATTCTTTAAAACACCCCTTAAAGTGTTTTATTCCTTAAGCACATCATCATCTTGGATCTCAGTCTTGACCTTAAGCTTGTGCTTATGTTATACTTTAAAATTATCCTCAGTCTGTTTTGGATTGTTGTCCTGACATATAAGCCTAAATCTTAGTGAGTTTGACATGATGTAATGCTAGGGCAAGTAGCTTAGAGATCACTTAAATAAGATTTGGAGAAGGAGTTATTTTTTGTGACTGTAGATTAGAAATAAAAAAATATGACATACTAAAACCCTAATAATGAAATTGTGTTGCATAACTAAGTTTCCTTCTCAGATAAGTTCTACAACACCATAAACATTTGCCATTGGCAGTAGCCACTTATAATAGAAACAAGAATGATTTGCTTATAGTGCAATTTCAGTTCTCAAATACATACCCATATCATGGTTTACTTGGTTAAAATATATTTTATTATGCTCCCTGCTTGATGTTTGATTCAGTCTTCTTAAGTAGTTGTCTGAATGGTGGTGGGAGTAGTGACCTCTTTGAAACTGTCAATATGCTCCTTCACCTACTAAATAAGCAAGGAATGAGTTTGACATACCACTTAAGGTAGCTGGTTAAACAAAATAGGCGTCTTGATCCTTACACCTGCATTTCCGTGCCTGTTGTTAAAACAGAGCTATAAGCCAGATATCATTCTAAATGAGTTTTATTCTAGACCTTTGCTCTCTAATTCATTGGTTTATTTAAATAGAGTTTGAAAAATTCAGTTTAAACTATATGCAAATCCTTCTAAACCAGGCCCTTTATATACACACGTTCCCTTTTGTGTGAACAGTACTTTGTTAATGGCTCAATAATTAAGGGAGTTTACATTTTAAAGACTTCAGTTTTTAATTGGCTGAATATTAATCACAGATCACTTTCAGTTCTGTTGTGATATGCAAATTATTGATGCCTCAGCTGCATTTGTTTTCAGGTATCAATCTAACCGCATAATGCAAAATAACATTCTGCAATTATTTCAATTAGATGCAGTCAGCCTTTGGAGCAAGCTATTTATTTCATTTCAGTAAATGAAGAAAGCAGTTGCTGTTTTCCATTCCCTGGTGTTTACTGCCCAGAACTAGGACTCACAACTGGTATGTGTACAGCACATAAACAGTTTTCTAACTGGATCACGTTAGAATTCATGGTAAAGGGCAAGCAATTGAACTCCCCTTGCAAGATTTCATTTGGCTAACTGACTCTTCTGCTTTGGAATGAGATGTCACCTTGTTTGGGGGTATTCATTACCATTTTAAAGTGTATTATGAAAGGTAGAGTCAATAAGAGTTCCTAATTAGCAGAATCTGTTTAGCACAAGCGCATAACATTAGAGGATTTTTTCCATCAGACTGCAGCTGTTACCTAGGCAGAGAGGAGGAATTCCACCTAACCACAAAGACTAAGATAGACAAATAGCTGCGCTGTCTTAAGAACGGTTCGGGTATGTCTCCTCGCAGCGATTTCGCTCCATAATTGCAATCCACATTAAATGCAGCAAATGTTACCACCCTGCCCACTCAGTTTCCACCTCTACTTTTGTTTCAAGCGGGGAGGGAGACAGAAAAGGAAGGGGGGGGGAAGTCCTTTCTTTCTTTCTTTCTTTCTTTCTTTCTTTTCTTCTCTTCTCTCCTTCCCCGCTCCGCTCTCCCATCCGCGGTACCCAGCGGCTCCAGGCGAGGGGCCCGCGATGCCCCGTCCCGGCCGCACCTCGGGCTGCACTTGTAGCTGCCGCTGCCGCCCATGGCAGCCCCGCGGCCCCGCCGGCCCGGGGGGCTCCTCCCGCCCCGCCGACCCCGCCTGAGCCCCGCGGGGGCGCAGCCCGGCGCCTCCCCGGCAGCGGCACCGGCGGCGCGGCGCCTCCGGGCGTGCGGGAGAGGCTCCGGCGGCGGCGATGCGCCGGGATTGCTCCCCCGGAGCGGCGTCTCCCTGCCCGCCGAAGCAGCGCCCGGGCGCTCGGTGCGTTGCGTGTGTTGTGTGTGTGCGAGTGTGTGTGTGAGTGTGCGGGTGTGCGTGTGGCGAAGGGGAGGGGGCTCACTGCGTGCAGGGGGTGGGCGAGAGCAGTGCGATGGGAGCGGGCGCCCGTGTGCAGAGGGATCCTCTCCCCGCATGTGTGCGGGGGACCGCGGTGCCGGGGCAGGGCTCAGCCAGGCTGCTGCTGCTGCTGCATGCGGCGGAGCCCGCGGGGTACCGCAGCGCCGGGCATCCCCTCGCCCCGCGCGGCCAGGGGTGCTCGCCCCGGCAGCCGCCCGGCTGCCCCCGCCGCCCGCTGCGGGCGCGGAGCCGCCGGAGCCGAGAGCGAGCGGGGAGAACGGCGGAGCGCAGCCGAGCGCGGCCGCGGCGACCCCGGGCGCCGAGGTAGGGACGGTGCCGGGCTGTCCGCCGGGAGCATCGCCGGGGGCGGCGGGCGCCCCGCCGGGCGTGTGAGTGCGGGCGGGGGTGGGGGCACGGCGGGGCCGCGTGTGCGTTGGCGTTTTAATTTCTTCTAATTGTTATGAGGGCTTTGTTTTCATTGCTGTAATAATTACTGATGCTGTTTTAAAGGGGAATGGGGGGGGGGGGGGGCGGCCACATGAGCAGGCGACAGTGGCTTCCTGCCGGAGCCTCTCTGCCATCGCGCTCGCCGCTCTCCGCAGCCGCCCGCCTCCCGGAGCCCTGGCCAGCGGCACCAGGAGCAGCGCTGCCCTCTCCCATCCTTCCTGGGAGAGCGGAGCGACCGGGATCGGAGCGGCCCGGAGGAGCCGGTGGAGGTGTGGGAGGGACAGGGGGAGCAGAATCTGCGCAGCGGGGCTGGAGAAGGGGGTGTGTGGATGCGCTGCGGGCTGGACTTTGCAAAGGTATCGGGGCGGCGGGGGTGGGGGGGAGGTTGGAGCGTTTGGCGACGGGGACTACGGTCGTGCCTGGTAGCGAAGGGAGGGTGGAAGGGATGCGGAGCTTCACCGCTCTCGGCTGGCATGTGCGCGCCTGTGTGCGCGCCCGTGTCCCTCCTGCCCTCCCCCGCCGGGAGGCAGAGGGCGACGGGGCGCCCACGACAGAAGGGACCCGGCACCAGCCGAGCCGGTTGCGGCAAAAAATTGCGGTAGTGCCGGCACTGCTGGCCGGGCTCGCCGCCCCGCCGCCAGCCCCGCGCAGCGCCCGCAGTGTGCCCGCTCGGCGCCGGCCGGGGCCCCGCGGCTGAAGAAGAAGAGGGGACTTGAGCGTGGGCGAGGCAGGGATGCGGGAGGACGGCGCCTGGGAGTGGGAGGGAGATGAAGCGATGGGGCCGCGGGGCCATCGGGCTGCCCCTGGGGGCGCGCTCCCCGCGGCCAGGGTCGGGAGCCTGCGGGCATGAGCAGCGGCTGCTCCGCTGCCCCTTCGTCCTGTACTCCCTCTTCCCCCCTGCTCCTGCTCCGCGGCCTCCTTGACCCCTTCAGTCATCCCTTCCTCTTATCCTTCCTTGCCTCCTCGGAGCTTTCCTTCTCCCTCTTGTCCTTCTGTCCTGCGTTGTTTCCTCATCCCTCCTCTGCCCTCCCTTCCAGGTCCCCTGGCACATCCTCCCCTTGTGTCTCCCTCCAGTCCGGTTCTCCTCCCTCCAGCTGGCTCCTGCTTTCTCCACTTTCATCCTGGCTCCCTCCTGCCAACGCAGTGGCTTCCCACAGCAGGAAATGCAAGGGACAAGTTGGGAAATGGGGGTAATGGGAAGATGGGGGCAGTGCAACATATTGATTATTGACTGATTTGTTAAAAAAAAAAGCTACCTTCTAACTCAGAGGAAATGCTGTGGCTCCAGTTCTGCATAAAAAATGGCAGCTCAGCTGGTCTGACTATATGTGAACGGTTCTTATCAATGCAAGAACAGGAGAAAATTACATAATGATTTAGAAAAAAATAGTTCTCAGGTTTCAGTAGGGTCAGGCTGGTGAATTGTGACTTTGTTTTGCCCTGCAAGTCAGCATATTATTATTCCTGGGGATGGGGCTGTGTGCTTGTGCATGCTTCTCTGTGTCTGTGTGCTTCCATTGGTCACCCAGAGCTGATGTTCTTGTTTTGTGGATAGTTGTATTTCTGCAATCAGTTTACCACCTATTTATTTAAACTAGGCATAAGAAGTGACAGAAAGAATGTATGTGCATGTCTGTATATCACTTGAGTGGATGTCTTTATTATCATACTGATAAATCTGTATGTGTTGAAGCTGTAGATACATACATTGAGTACTGACATTGCTTTCTGTGTCTGCACCTTTATCCTTTCTGTATTGTGCTATCCCAACCCAGATGTTTGGGCATGCATAACATCAGCATTTGTGTTTAATATCCCTGAAATGCACAGCAGCATATGAGCAGTGCAGGTTTGAGGAGAGTAAATATGCATAAAATTGGAATCTCCTTTGGTTATTTTACTTTGTTAGTTATGCATGCTTGGCGTGTAGAAGAGAGAGAAATGTATTTGACAGACCTGAGAGTTATTTGTGTTTGTCTACAGAATTTACATTCTGTGTTTGAAATCATCCTAGCTCCCGTGTATTTGTTTGGTTGTTAAAATCTTTCATGTTATTTTAAATTCAGTGCTTGTAGTTTATCTATAATCCTTGGCAGGTACAGTAGCTCAGTGGTATACAATTTTTAACCCAAATGACGTTTTGGAACAATGTCAACTGAAAAATGTTTTCTTTTTTTCTTTCCTTCTTTCTTCTTTAGATTCTTTATCTTTGTTCAGGAGCCTAAGGTTGCTTGCTGATCACAAGAAGATGTTTCTGTGGCTCTTTCTGGTTCTGTCATCTCCAGTTTCTTCTACAACTGCAGATGCTGATATATCTGTGGAAATTTGCAATGTTTGCTCCTGTGTGTCAGTTGAGAATGTACTCTATGTCAACTGTGAGAAGGTTGCAGTCTACAGACCAAATCAGCTTAAACCACCATGGTCTAATTTTTACCACCTCAACTTTCAAAACAACCTGCTAATTGTTCTATATCCAAATTCCTTTCCTAATTTTACACATGCAGTGTCCTTGCAACTGGGTAATAATAAGTTGCAGAACATTGAGGGAGGGGCCTTTATGGGTCTTAGTTCATTAAAACAGTTGCACTTAAACAACAACGAATTAAAGATTCTCCGGGCTGACACTTTCCTTGGCATAGAGAACTTGGAGTATCTCCAAGCTGACTACAATTTAATCAAGTTTATTGAACGGGGAGCCTTCAATAAGCTTCACAAGCTGAAAGTCCTGATACTTAATGACAATCTGATTTCATTCCTTCCCGATAATATTTTTCGATTTGCTTCTCTAACCCATCTGGATATACGGGGGAATCGAATACAGAAACTTCCATACATTGGAGTTCTGGAGCACATCGGGCGAATTGTTGAATTGCAGCTGGAAGACAACCCCTGGAATTGTACTTGTGATTTGTTGCCTTTGAAGGCGTGGCTGGAGAACATGCCCTATAACATCTACATTGGAGAAGCGATCTGTGAGACACCCAGTGACTTGTATGGAAGGCTGCTGAAAGAAACCAATAAGCAGGAGCTGTGCTCCATGGGGACAGGGAGTGATTTTGACGTGCGCATCCTGCCTCCCTCGCAGCTGGAGCCCGGTTACAGCACACCAAACGGCCACACCACCCAAACATCGGTGCACAGATTAGTCACAAAGCCGCCAAAGACTACAAATCCTTCGAAGATCTCGGGGATAGTAGCAGGCAAAGCGTTCTCTAATCGCAATCTCAGTCAAATCGTATCCTACCAGACCAGGGTGCCTCCTTTAACTCCTTGCCCGGTCCCTTGTGTTTGCAAAACTCATCCTTCAGATTTGGGATTAAGTGTAAATTGCCAAGAAAGAAATATAGAATCCATGGCTGAACTCGTACCAAAACCTTTAAATGCCAAGAAACTGCATGTGAACGGCAATTATATTAAGGATGTGGATACTACAGATTTCGCCGAGTTTGAGGGGCTGGATTTGCTACATTTAGGCAGCAATCGGATTTCAGTGATCAGAGGAGACGTTTTCCGCAACCTTACAAATTTACGGAGATTGTATCTCAACGGCAATCAGATAGAGCGCCTGAGCCCTGAAATGTTTGCTGGCCTCCACAACTTGCAGTATCTGTATTTGGAATACAATGTTATCAAAGAGATCCTAGCAGGCACCTTTGACTTAATGCCCAATTTACAGTTGCTCTACCTGAACAACAATCTTCTCCGAAGCTTGCCAGCGTACATTTTTGCTGGTGCACCACTTGCTAGACTGAATCTGAGGAACAATCACTTCATGTATTTGCCTGTAAGTGGTGTTCTTGATCAGCTAAAATCTCTTACACAAATAGATTTGGAAGGTAATCCATGGGACTGCACTTGTGATTTAGTTGCTTTAAAACTGTGGCTTGAAAAGCTAAATGAAGGTATTGTGGTGAAGGAGTTGAAATGTGAAACACCTGTACAGTTTGCTAACATAGAACTTAAGTCTCTGAAAAATGAGATCCTCTGTCCTAAACTTTTAAACAAGCCATCTGCTCTGTTCACTAGCCCTATGCCTGCTGTTACTTTTACAACACCACCGGGACCGGTTCGGAGTCCTCCTGGTGGCCCAGTTCCATTATCCATCCTAATCTTAAGCATATTAGTTGTGCTGATTTTAACAGTGTTTGTTGCTTTTTGTCTTCTCGTTTTTGTGCTTCGGCGCAACAAAAAACCGACTGTAAAGCACGAAGGGATTGGAAATCAAGAGTGCAGTTCTATGCAGCTGCAGCTGAGAAAGCACGACCACAAGTCAAACAAAAAAGATGGACTGGGTGCAGAGGCCTTCATTCCTCAAACCATTGAGCAGATGAGCAAAAGTCATACCTGCGGCTTAAAGGAGTCTGAAACGGGCTTCACGTTTGCTGACCCACCAGGGCAAAAAGTCATTCTGAGAAATATTAATGACAAGGAGAAAGATTTGTTGCATGTGGATACCAGAAAAAGACTTAGCACAATCGATGAACTGGATGAGTTATTTCCTGGGAGGGATTCCAATGTATTTATTCAAAATTTTCTGGAAAGTAAAAAAGAATACAACAGCATAGGGGTCAGTGGCTTTGAAATACGTTACCCAGAGAAACTACAAGACAAAAAAACCAAGAAATCACTAATAGGTGGTAATCATAGTAAAATTGTAGTAGAACAAAGAAAAAGTGAATATTTTGAACTAAAAGCTAAACTTCAAGGTTCACCTGACTACCTACAAGTCCTTGAAGAACAAACAGCTTTGAATAAAATATAGGTCATACAATCTTATTGCCTACAGAGGACATTTATTTAATGATGAAAGTGCCTTTTGTTGACTTTTAACTTCCAAATACTATATTATATTGGTAGGCATAGAGGCAGGTGTATCCAGGGGTGTCTGATTAACTGTAGCTGCGTATGATTTGTCGAGTAGAGGAGAATTTCCTTAATAGATTTTACTACATAAAGCTCATGCCCAGTGGAATCCTGTAAGGATACTGCAAACTCTATTGCCAAAGGGATGCTTTATACACGTTACACTGAATTTAACCTCAAGAGGCATATATGTTTTGTATCTTAAATGCAAACCATCGTCTCCTTGTGATTTGTTAGAACAAACACAAGAAACCTGGTACTGATATTTGTACCTCAGCTGGGTCCTTCATCCTGCACGTGGATTTAAGTTGGTGGAACTGGAGTAATCCTTTGATTTGTGGTGTTGTAATGGCACTGTTTAAAGCTTATCTGGAAAGTAACAAGCATGCAAAGAGAGAACATTCAATAGTATGTGTAAATTGGTTACATTTATGGGCTGCATCTTGAAACCACTGGAATTATAATGTTAAATTGTGCAAATATTTGTTTAAAATATACCATGCATTACATACCTATGGAATAAATTTGACCACTTGAAGCATACATGTCTATAGAGAAAATTAAAAAAAAAAAAAAAGAAAGAAAATAGTTTAACCTGACTTCTGCAGTATTTGTGACATCTGAAGAAAATATTTGATGTTTATGCAGAATCTGTTCTAAGACTCATCTCCAATTAAAACTAGAATTCCTTCTCAGTTATGTGAAACTCTTGCAACCCAACAGGTTGTCCAAAAATGTCAAAGTGCTTACTGTGTGAGCGTGGCAGAAATTATTTTTGTAATATAATTCATATTTATGAAATACTTTGTATACTAAATAGGAAAGAATATGTACTCCTTAATATGTATTTAATATGCCTGACTTGTTTTCCTGATCACACTGCATTAATCATTCAGTATAAATAAAACCAGAACAATATACCAAACAGCAACCGGGGATGTAATGTATAGCATTATCCAGAATTAAGTGATCAGATATAATGATAATAATAATAATAATAATAAAAAAAAATTGTTCTGTACTATTCTTGTGAGATTAGCATATTATCTTATTTCAGATTTGTTACCAATGGTGCGTTTTAAAATAGATTCATTAGTTTTTTTAGTATTGTGTCTCGGGCAATTATTTGCCACCAGTTTTCTTGATTTTCAGGTCTCTACAGCTTAACTTAAATAGTTTTCACTACAAGTATTTACAGAAATTCATGCTAAGGGTAATATTTTAATTGGATATGCAGAAGTTTTCTGTTCTTGTTATCTCTCTGACTTCTGTTAGTCAGCAAAACCTGATCAGAACAGTGAACAATATGGCAAATCATGTCTATTTAAAACCACAGTGTAAAATGAATATAGTGGTCTCAGTTCAGAGTATTGTGTAGCTCATACCTAGAGAGTAAAAACTTGCCTTTGAGAAAGCTGAATCTTAATAGCTAGGGAAAAAAAAAGTAGGAGAATGGAAAATCCCCACTGTATCTCACTGATAGATGGTACTTTGACATGAGAATGGAGATATATTGGTAAAGCATCCCAGAAAAAAATCTATGCAATGAGATTAACAAAAGTTCTTTGTCTTCATGAGCTTTGAATAAGACTCTCTTCCCTCCTTTGCTTCCAGAACATTTACCCCTCCCAACCTTTTATAATCAATAAGTCAGTTAAGATAGTAGGATATAAACGTGAATGTTTTTCATGAATTTGAAACTAGAAAAATTAGAGCAAGACCCAATAATAATTCTGTGGAGAAGGCTGTGTCAGCTATTTCCAATATAAACCTCTAATTTCAGGGCTTTATTACAGTGATTTGAAATTTTTGTTCTGGAATGATACTTGGCAACCAGTCTGCAGTATATTTTTAACAAAATATATAAAAAAAAAGAAAGCACTGCTTCTTTATTTAAGAGAAAGCAAACAAAACATTTCTCTACTTTTAGCCATGTGTTTATGCTCTTGTGGCTTAGAAAGAGGGTTGTTTTATTATTTTTCTCCATACTTCGAAGTATATAGATGACTTCAGATAATAAAATTATAACAGATGAATTAATGGCTGAGTTTCTTTCAAAAAAACTGTGGCTATCTGTGCAGAATAATTAATGTAATTCAGAATGTCATAGGGATTTTCAGGACATGGATACTATATACATATGCATTTCTAGCATGAAAAGTTCCTGATTGACCAATGATACAATACATGGCCAAGGCTGTAAAACGAATATATGAGTTTGTTGTCCTTGTTGATTAAGGAGTGTTAATAATGCACTGACATGGTAGACTCTGGTGGCTCCATCAGCAGGCTAAGGATGAGGGGTCACTGTGCCTGCTCCACTCAGTGCTGTGTGGTTTTGAGGATGTGTCCAAGTTCACTGGGATTTGCCAAAGCAGGAGGCTTCTGACACACTCAGTGCATTGTCAGACTGTCATGTCCCTCTCCCTGCTTGAGAGAGACAGGTGTTAGAAATATTAAAAGTAGCAAATAAGCCAGTACTTTTAAGTGATGATAAAACTGACGTGCTTATGACTCACGTTGCCCTGAGTTAAAAGAACAATTATAAATGACCATACCTTCCTCAGCTAAAAAATTGAGGGGATTTGGTTTTGTTTTGAGGGGAGGGGTGTTGTTTTTTGGGTTTTTTTTCTCGTTTTTGGTTTTTGTTCTGTTCTTTTTGTTATGTTGTCTTCTATTTGCTGATCAAAAGAAGAAGAAGAACTGATCTGTTATGCTGTACCATTACAGTGGGGTCAGAGTTTCCTCACCACTGAGGTCCCAATCCAGTAAAAGCGTTTAAGCTCAACCTAAATCCTGTGCAGAGGTACTATTCATGAGCTAGTAATTACATACCTGCCCAAGAGTGGGGCTTAGATAGAGTTTTGTCATTGACTTCAAAACAAGCCAGCTCAGAACCATTGTATATAACACACAGAGCCCAGAGACTCTTTTGGGGTTATGCAGTTGAGTGTAGGTTCACCAGCATCACTAAAGGTTGCACAATCCGGACCTTCCTGTAGAAATCGTTCCTAAGTGTTTGACAATATATGGTGCAATATGTAGGCATAATAGTGTGAGTGAAGAATGCAAAAGCTGGCAAAACACTATATTTCTGTGAAATTGTCACTTTGAATGGCAACCTTAATGTCAGTTTATTTTCTCCATGTTTTGAAGCGGTGTATGTGTCTGCACAGCAGTTTTAGTGTAATGTCCATTCAAATCTCCAGTCAGTCTTTCTGAGAAGGTGACTCTTCGGATGTGGCTTAACAGGTCTGTCTGTTCATTATCTTGGTTTGAGTGGCCATGCTTGTAAAATGGCTGTTAAGACCCATAGACATAAACTAAACCAGTGAAGGTGTTAACATAATCTGTCGTCTCCACTGTATTATAAGGAAGTTTCCGTTTTTAAATAAAATCAATAAAGTGTAATTGTTTCCTTGAAAAAAAAAAGAAAAAAATTGTGCAATTTTCTCAAAAAAGCAAATACCACGGTGCAAGAACACAAGACCAGGTGATTTATGTTTTGCATTTAGTGTTCAAGATTGATAATAATGCAGCAATCTAGTATAAAAATCTTTTTTAAATGCCTTTTTTTTTTTTTAAAGCCATAAGTTATAAAGGCATGGCCTTGTGAATAATGTTAACAAATGTTTCAGAATCAAGAAAAAACATCCAGAACTTGATGGTGGTATAATATCTATAATATCTTTTGCATGATTTGTATGTTGATATTGTATGAAATGAGCACAGTGAGACTTTTTTTTTTTTTGGTTGCATCCAAAGAGTTAGGAAGGAAATATAACAAGAATGTATTTATAATCACTCTATTTTGAAATAAAGTAAAGAAAACAAAATGTATTGGCTTTACCCTGTTTTGATCATTGCTATTATAGTTTAAGATAGTTACTTATGACATCCAGCCCAATGTAAAACACAGAAAGCTATTGTTTATTAATTTTGTTTGCCTTCATCAACATCAAAATACTAGCCAGTGTTGACTTCAAAATTTGTATGAAATATTAATAAAATTGTTTGGTACTATTGTATTTCTGAAACTAGACTTTGTTAAGTGCCTGTAATATTCTCTTTTGGACCATTTGTACGTGGAGGACAGAGAATCTATAAAGCAGTTAAACAGTAATGTTTTCTAATCACTTCAGCAATTTGTTATCATATTTTATGAAAGTTTTTCCCATCTTCTGTTGTCCAACAAATCTTCCTTTCCTCTGTTATGCAAATAATCCTTCCAAAGTCAGTGAAACTTTTTTGCATTAATTACACAAGCAGAATTTAGTTCTAGTTGAATTCTGAGTTCTTTCAACACAGAAGTGCTTAAAGGATCACTTACATAATGCTGGGGTATTTGTTTTGATTCTGCTCCTTCCTTATTTATCATTTTCAATAATACAGTTTCTCAGAGGAAAGAAAAGTTAGTTTGTCCTTAGCAAAAACAAAAATGTCAAGCCATCTACTATTTCGTAGTATATATAGTTATATAACTGAACGTTGACAAGATGCCTTTAGATAGTTTAACTTCCAAATTTATATTTTGTAGTAAAAATGGTTTACAAAGCCTCATAAAAATCTCCATGGCAAAGGAGAAGGAACAGAACTATATTATGTCTAGATCAAACATTCCCTGTTGTGTAGGATTTAACATGCATTATAATAGCAGTGAATGAGAATCAGAATGTGATATGGACTAGAAAATTGGGACTTGATATGGATTTTTTTTTGCTTCCAGCTGAAGTGTAACGTTAGGAGCAAACCCACAGCATTAGCTGAAAAAGGCCTACATATATATTCCACATAATTTCTTTCTAAAGAAAAACTTGAGAACCAAGAATTAAGTGTTCATGTTTTGATAATGTGGGCACTGCTTTCCTGAATGGAGAGGAATTTGGTGGTTTTCTTTTAATACATTTTGTCATTATTGAGTCTTTATTTCCAATTTCAGTTTACTCATCCTTATGCATTCTGATTGATGCTCTGTTGGGAAGTAAAAATAGGAATGTTAGTGCTCAGGGACAAACTCTTCTCAGAAATTTACCAGTGTAAATGCAGACTGACTGAGCAGACTTTGGAATCAAATCAGCCTTTTCTTAGTAAACAAAAAAAATATTAGAGCTACCTCTCCATCATTGAAATAAAAATAAGTAATTTTTTCTTTGAAATGTAGTATAATCTCTCTTTATGCTCTATTGATTTGTGTTGTGAAACTGTTACTATTTTCAAATTACTGTAGGGAAAATACAGACTAAGTGGAGTCCTGGGTCAGTTTGATATGAGTGGAACTCTACAATGATTCAAGAACTGTGGGCATCCTGAGGATGTACTATGGGTACAAAACTATTTCAATTTGCTGGTGTAATGCATTGACTTGGGATAGCTCTCACATAAAATACAAATGCTTTCTTAACAATACAATTTATTTTCTTCCTATAATGAAACAAGGTTACCCTGCTCTTCTTTCTCATTATGTAGGGAGTTTATTGCAAATATATTTGGTTTACTGTTAATTTTGTGTTCACTCGTAATACTTGAGATAATTCATTTGTTGTCTGAAAACTACACTTTGAGCAGTCTGTTATTTTTAAAATACCAATCACTGGTAACAGACTGATACTGCATTATATTGACTTTTCATTCCCTTGTTGGGAATTTTTGCGGCCATTTAACACTAAATAATTCCTTAAAAGCACAGATAAAGATTAGATAAGAAAAAAAGACCTAATTGCTACTAAATCTGAATTTTTTTATATGTGTATATGTGAAGGCTTAACATTCTGTAAAACAACTGTGATGGGTTACGAGTGTTACATCATTGTCTCTTTGGTCTTTCTTTAACCAGAAAACAGAAGGTGATCTCTATATGGTAATTTTGTAAATATACAGTAGCAAAGAATATTCCTCAGTTTCCCCCATCCACCAGCATTTCATTTCTTGGTTTAATTTAATGTAATTTTCTGGAAATGTGTGCACTGTGACCTTCCAGAGCATCCTTCCACTTCATGCTCTCACTTCACCCTCAGTGAGCCAGACCTTTCCTGCTGGATGTTTGTTTAGACTTCAGTTAGTAGCAGTTTCCAAGAAGGCAGAGGAGGAGGATTTGTCGATTCCTAAAACCTAGCTAAAAAAGGCAAAATGTCAGAGACTGTCCTGGATGATTCCTGAGTCATGTCAGATGGTGTAGGATCCAAAACAGGGAAGTGTAGGAAATGGTTTAAGCTTCTATTGTTAAGATTCGTGCTGGGCTTTTGAAGCTGGACAATCATGGCTTTCCATGACTGTAAATTGGACAGTGCACCATAAATGTGATTCAGTCCATTGAATCCTGACAGACTGTGGGCCAAATCCTGCAGACACCTGCACCCACTTAACCCAAGCTAGGTTTTGGTGTCACTACTCAAAAGTCTTGGGCAAATTATTTAGGTTAAAGCACATGTGATGCCTATTTCTTAATGAGGCTGAGATGTGGATACACTTGGGTGCATATTGGGTGCTGCTTGGCTGTGGAGGTCAGTTTGTACCTAATGTTTGCTGAGGAATTGCTTTGGTAGAGACTCTCTTCACGTGCTGCATTAGTGCTCACATCTGAATATGAGACACAGTATGGTAAGTACATCTCAATGAGCAGAGTCACAAAGGGCAGCGTGTTTTGACAGATTTTGAGCTCTTCACTGCAAGAAACTGCAGGAAATGATGTACCATACAGCAGATTTTCTTGCTCCCTGGCAGGATCTCATAGACTCTCTGAGTCCTTCTCAGCAGGGTATTCTTCTTGTCTGTACACTGCAAATAAGACTCCAGGTCACCACTCTCGTGTATGTGCAGTCTGTGTTTGCTTATACCCAAAAATAATTTTGTGGATATGTGTAGGAAAAGGGTAGGAGAATAATTTTTTTTTTTTCATTTGTAAAGCAAAATGGGCTGAATTTGATTTTTTCCAGATTGAAAAAGAAAACTACAGATAAAGAATGGTCATATTGTTGGTTAATATCTGTATTTTACTAAGAGAGAGAGAAATAAAGGAGTTGGTTTTATATTTTTAGCGTGCAGCTTTTCAACTTCTTCCATTCTTGGGTTAGAATATGCCCCTGGGTGCCAAAGGGCTTACATGTGCAGCTCAGGGCACAATTTAGTTGCAAGGATTCATCCTAAATATCTTGCTGCCTTTTGTGTGGTAGAAATTAAATGGAAGGTTCTGATTGTTCCCTGTGTGTTTGCTTTCATGGAAGTTAGATCAGTAGGCATTTCTGAAGCTCCTGTTAAGTTGTGTCTGCAATTTGGTGAAGTTGGAAACAAGAGTACAAATGTCATACAAGGGGTGATTTCTTTGGATGGGGTTAGCACTGAAATAATTGGAGTTCATATAGTTTCCTTCTTAAATATCGCCATTGGTTGCCCTGTTTTATACTTATGAAGATCTTTGCTTCTGGGATCAGTTCAGTAAGTCAGTGGTTTTACAAATGTGATCAGGAGATTGGGTCCAAAAAACTTAGCTTTTAATTGTCATGGTTTTCCAAGTTGTAAATAAAGAACAACAACATCATGAATAACCGAGATTTAAGATTTCTTTCTGTTCAGTGAAAGTGACTTTTGCCTTAACTAAGCGAAATATTCAGGAATTACTTTGGGAGAATTGGGTTTCTGCCAGCAAACAAGGCCCATATTTTGTAATCCTTTCTCAAGAACATAAGCTATGGAAGCGGTAAGAGGTTTTATCTTTTAAGTAGCTTCCCCTATAATTTGGAGGCTCAGTTCAGCTGTTGGAGCTATGCCACAAGCAAGATCTTATGATTTTGCTGCAATAGTCACATAGACAGTAACTAGACAAGTAATGGTCAACAAAATGAGTGTGACACATTCTCTCTGTGTAGCTTTGTCAAGTAATTTATACCACTTCAGCATATGACAGCCAAGATAGTAAGGATTATAAATTGTAAAGCGTGTTGGTGAGGATTCCTTTACATTTGTAATGTGCCTTCAAAATGAAAGCAGTATGCAAATGATGACTATTATCAGCATACAATCCATTTCAAAAGAGGAATACCATTGTACTGTACATAGTGCTCTATTGTTCAGATTGAGAAATATCACTTAAAGTGGATAAGCTGTGCTTTCCTTTCTGTAGACTCTATTAAATAGAGCTGTTTACTCTATACAGAGTAATACAGCTCTGAGCCATATGCAAGAAAATACTTAAGCCCAAAAATGACAAGGAAATAGAACATCCAAAAAGAACATCTGCATTATAATAATAAAATCACTCATATTTTCCAATAACATTGGCACTTCTGACTGTTTTTGCTCTGCTGACAAGTTGTGGGACTGAGGTGTAGAACTGGAGTCAGTTCCTATTTCCTTTCTCCACACCAGAATTCCCTTTGACATTATACACGTGTGAGGTCGATTTGCCCACTGCATCTCAGTGGCACGTGAGGTTGAAGCAACAACGTGTTCATACCTACTGTGCAGGCATTTGCCATGGGCATCATGACAAAGATGTCCCCAGAGACAACAGAAGCATGGCAGTGACCTTTGCTGGTGTCTTGTCCTATACCATCCATTGCTTGAGCCAAAGCAACAGGGTTGTAGCAGGGCTCAGGAACATCCTTGTTTTGACATTGCAGAGAAGCAAAGTAACAGGAGCAGAACAGCAGAGTAGCTCTGTAATCAGGAATGTAGGACTCTCCTTGACTGATACTTCAGTATATGGGCTAGTCTACTTTACAGTGTTCACTTCTGGGTCCAATCTAATCTCTAAAGTTTGGGACCAGGCTGGAAGAACTTGTTTGGCCAAATGTCGTGTCCTCCACAGTGCAACTAGACCCGGTTCTCTGCCAGATTTGTGGAGACACATGTCTTTTCCCTGTCTGTAAATAATGTACAGTCAAACTGGCATTAACAACTTTTAATGGTTCTGTAATGTACTACACATAATGCATGTGCACATGCAAAATTGTCATTTCCATGAGGTATTACTGAGTGTCTCTGGCAGTAGATGAGAACAACCATTTTTTGCCTCAAAGCCTATTTTGGTGGCCAGACTCAG